ACGCGTACAATCCATGACCATACCCCTCGAGCTCGTCGATGTTGTCCATGCCAACTACCCAAGTGAAAAATATCTGTTCCATAGCCTCAAAGTCCTGGAGGCTCAGATATTCAATGGATGGTGCACTTGAGCCAAAATGGACTTCGGACGACATGCCCTTTCCATTTCCCTTCGCTGGACAATCTCGCACAAGATGATCGGAACTACCACATTCATGGCATTTGAGAACCTGGCCGTCTCTACCTCGCGGGTTTCCCCGCCTACCTTTACCTTTACCTGAGGTCTCTCTACGGCCTTTACCACGGCCTTTTCCCCCAAAGAATATCTCATCATGTTGTTCATCTGAGAGCCTCTGGAGAAATGCCGCGATACCTCGCCCGTTCAACCTCCGACGACCACGCTTGCCTTTACCCTTTCCTTTAAAACTTCTGCGTATCCTCCTTCTAACACGACGCACTGGTTTTCGTGTGAACCTCCTCCACCTTCGTTTGGCCTGTTGTAACAGCCAGAATAAATGCTCAGCACGCTGATTGTCGTTATCCATATTCATGATATCTGACCAATCTAGAGCTTCAACACCATCTGATGATATAGTGTCTGTATCGGTGCCGGAGTCGAAATCTTCGTCTCCTAAATAGGTGGATACACCGTCGGTTAGGGGATTTGATTCCCCCCATAACGAGCGGTGTGGTTGTGGTTCTCTAGAAGGAGGGCTGGTTGCCCAGCTTGGTTGTGATCGATCCCCTGCTAATAAAGCAGTGGATTCTCCTGGGTCATCGGCCCATATGTTTGAGGGCCCGTTTCCAGGCTGGGCTTCAGTAGTCAAGGTAGTGTAGAAATTTCCACTACCAGATCCCCTTCCCCTTCCAAACACAGATCCTATGTTACCAGGAGACCGTTCGGATAGGTGGCCTATCGAACGCATCCTCTCCAGCAACTCATCATACTGTTGTTGTGTTCGAGGCATTTGGTGGTTGAGTGGCTGTAAGAGTTGCATGGCTTTCTGGTTGCCGACGCCTAAGGCGCGGAATAGGATAGTGGTTAGCAGTTGGAAGTTAGGAAGGTCGAATCCCACCGACTGTGCCTCAAGTCGGGCCATTTCGAATCGGGTAAGAGTGACATCGATTCGTTCCCCGTGAGGCACAATGGAAGTCGATGAGTTGCGTGCCGGAAGTGAGCTGTCGCTCATCTTCCAGGCGTTCGAACTTCATGCTGAGGAGGAACATGATGTAAGTTACTGGGTCTGTGTGGACCCCATCAATATCAGCACCATAGTTTATAATGTCAGGCGGTACCCTCATGGCGAGTGTCCTCGCTAGGCCACCTAGGCCGCGTTGTATTGCGGCCGCTTGGGCCTGTGGCGTCATACGTCCGCTTGTAACGTTGAGCCATGCGTTGACCTCGTAGATGTACTCACGAAAAGGTACATTACCTTGAGGGTCCCAATATGGGCCATGTGTTTGCCCATCGGTGCTGTTATCTCCACGACGCATGTGTCCGATTGCTGCCCCCAGCGCGAACCATATGATAGCGAAAACGATTAGCCCGAGAATGTGTAACGAAGGACGGTTATGATGCGCGTTGTCGCGCTGGGGTAGCGCCTTGTCGAGTCTTCGAGGCGCTCTGTCTGGCGGGTCTCCCCGCCCTTGCTTCAAGTATTGCGCTGTTAGCTCGTTGCCGAGCGGTTGGTAGTAACGCAATGATGAAGCGTATATGGTACCGGTTTGGTCGTCTAGACGTCGTACCTCTCGTGTTGCTTCTTGCTATTGAATAGATCCTCGTAAGCGTACTGGGAGTGGTGGCGCAGGGTGGTAGGTGGTCACGAAGGTCGTGCCGAAGAATATGAGGCTAAGAAGAGCAAGAGCTGACCACACGAGAGTGCGGCCAGCTCCGCTACCAAGTCGAAAGTGAGCCTGGTAACTCACATAGGGCATATAGCCTGGCAAATTGCATCCATCGCTCTGTTGTGAAGGTACAGTATGAGGGGTGGATGGGTAAGATAGGATAAGATCGATGTAATGATCTTTCCAGCACATAGCGAACACTCGCGGTGTCCGGGCAAATAGCGAATACCATCAGGTATCCGGGCAAATAGCGAATACCATCAGGTATCCGGGCAAATAGCGAATACCATCAGGTATCCGGGCAAATAGCGAATACCATCAGGTATCCGGGCAAATAGGGCGCGCGTGCCTTGAGCCCAAGGCAGCGGCGCGCGAGCTATGCTCCCGATACTGTGACATCTCCCAAATAGCTACCCTTAAAGTCTGCCATCGGCAAGGACCCTACACAACATGTGCACTGTTTGTACCACATCTGCACCAACTAATCCCACCAGCCCTTTAGGGCGTAGGTGGTCTAGAGCGTTTCCTCTGCCAACCCCCTTCTTTCCCTTCGGGGAGGGGTTACCCCTCCCCTTACCCCTCCCTACCGACCTGGACGAGGGGTTCCGCGGGTCGTTGGGACGTCCAAGATGGCCCAAGACGGCTCCAAGAGCGAAAAAGCGAAAAAGCACAAAACATTGATTACCCTTGGGTTTTGGAAGGGGTTTGGCCTCTTGGGGGGGCCCAGGAGGCGATTCGAGGCACTCTAGAGGGACAAGGCTAGTATACGACCCCCCCTTCTTTGATAGATCTCCTCCAACATGGCCCCAAGAGCGCCCCGAAGGCCCCCAAGAGCGCCCCAAGAGCGCCCCAAGAGGGCCCCAAGAGGCCCCAAGAGGTCCCCAAGAGGCCTTCAAGAAGCTCCCAAGAGACCCACAAGAGGCCCCAAGAGGCTCTCAAGATGGCCCAAGACGGCTCCAAGAGCGAAGAAGCGAAAAAGCACTAAACATTGACTTTCTCTAGGTTTTGGAAGGATTTTGGGTTCAAGAAGGGCCCAAGAGGCGATTCGAGGCACTCTAGACGGGCAGCGCTACTATACGACCCCCCCTTCTGTGATAGATCTCCTCCAACATGGCCCCAAGAGCGCCCCGAAGGTTCCCAAGAGCGCCCCAAGAGCGCCCCAAGAGGGCCCCGAGAGGCCCCAAGAGGCCCCCAAGAGGCCTCCAAGAGGCTCCCAAGAGACCCCCCAGAGGCCCCAAGAGGCTCTCAGGATGGCACAAGACGGCTCCAAGAGCGAAAATCCGCAAAAGCACACAACATTGATTTTCTATAGGTTTTGGAAGGATGTTGGCCTCAAGAAGGGCCTCAGAGGCGATTCGAGGCACTCTAGAGGGGCAGCGCTAATATACGACCCCCCCTTCTTTGATAGATCTCCTCCAAAATGGCCCCAAGAGCGCCCCGAAGGCTCCCAAGAACGCCCCAAGAGGGCCTCAAGAGGCCCCAAGAGGCCCCCAATAGGCCTCCAAGAAGCCCCCAAAAGACCCCCTAAGAGGCCACAGGAGGCTCCCCGATGTATGCAAGATGCCCCCGGGACCGCCAAGAGGCCCCAAAGACGGCCCAAGAGGCCCCCAAACTCGCCATTGTCCTCCTCCTCCTCCTTCTCCTCCTCCTCCTCCTCCTCCTCCTCCTCCTCCTCCTCCTCCTCCTCCTCCTCATTTTCCTCCCCTCCTCCTCTTTTTCTTCCTCTTCCCTCCTCCCCCTCCCCTCCTCCTCCTTCTCCTCGTCCTCCTCCTCCTCCTCCTCCTCCTTCTCCTTTGCCTCCTTCTCGTCCTCCTCATCCTCGCAGTCCTCCATCAACTCCTCCTCATCTTCCTCCTCCTCCTCCTCTTCCTTTTCCTCTTCCTCCTCCCCCCCTCCTGCTCCTTTTCCTCCTCCTGCTCCTCCTCTTCCCCCTCCTACTCCGACGACGACGGTTCCTCCTACATCCTCCCCCTCTTGGGGCATATGGCGGCTCACCCCGCACTTTGTTCTTCTGCATGCTCCCCCGCTTCCCGCATAACCTCCACTCTGGGACTCATTTCTGGACAGGCTGGTGGGAGACTTTTTAAGTCAGCGGTCGCGGGCGAGCGCGCCAGCGGCGAGTCAGGTCAAAGCGGGCCACGCAGCGACGAATTAGACTAGCTAGTGCGGATCCTTTTTAGACAGCGGCCGCGGACGAGCGCGCCGGCGGCGTGTCAAAGTTGGTGGGGATATTTTTGTTTGATTCGCGGCCCGCAAGGAAAAGTCCAGAGGGCGGTGTGAACGAGGCTGGGGCACAGCGCACGGGAAAGCAGATAATTAACGGCGCTGGACAAACGCCGGCCGAAGAGGCAACCACGAAGGCGCCACCACGCGACCACCAAAAGCCGCTGAGCGTGTGCCAGCAGAAGGGGGTGGAAAAATTAATGCAGACAGTTGGCGACGCTGGCACTGCGCCAGCAGAACAGGCAGCCGAGAAGGCACCAGCAGATAATTAACGACGCTGGACATGTGCCAGCAAAAGAGGCAACTGTGAAGAAACCAGCTGAAGCCTTGGCGCCACCGCGCGGACCCCAAAAGCCGCTGAGCGTGTGCCAGCAGAAGTGAGGAGGGCGGAAAAGGACCCGCAGGTGGGGTCAGACTGCCAGGCGGAACGAGCCAAAACCACTCACTTCCCACTTGGAACGTGGGCAAGTTGGTACGCCGCTGAGGGGGTTCGGGTCAATGCCTGGAGAAAGCCGACCACAGGAGAGAGCGCTGGTGGGGATACGCGAAGCGTCTAGAATTAGTTTCCAACTCACAGTTTGTACCACATGTGTTGCAGCACAATCTTGCACAGCGTAAGATGCAACCCATGGATTGTACAACACTGACTGCACCACATGGACTGCACCTCCAGACGCCGCACCAAATAGGGCGCATATCGAAAGAGCATGAACCCACTGGTCCACGTTGGTAAATGTGTGCCTGCTCAGGGGTGGACAGAGCCCCTATGTAGCAACACACCCTTTAGAGAAAACGACCGAGGACAAGACTCAGCGGATGCAGGCCCGAAAAAAGTGCGGCGCAACGCCATCTCGAGAACCGAAAATGGCAACTCGCTAAGCTAGTTGGCAGGGTGAGGGTTCTGTCAATCTCCGACTGGTTAGGCCTCCGGTC